AATAGGGTGACTTGAATACCGCCTTCTTCCGCAAGATTCCTAATTGCTGAAGCAGGGACAACACCATCACTCATATCAAAATAGGCAACCTCATCATCGACCAGCCTCCCTTGTAGAAGAGGCCGTCATCAATTTCTTTCATACTCTATTCTCCCAGCCCATCGGCCCTCATCCTTCCATGGCCAACCTATCCTTCCGGTCTATCCCTCTAGCTCAAGCCATTTGGCTTGAGTGTCCCTTTACTGAGGATGAGATCCTCAGAGCAGTCAAGGAGGTAGGCTAGTACTGGGCCCCTGGCCTGGACAGATTTCCGGTCGCCTTTTTCCATTCCTTTTGGGATACCCTAAAGGTCGATATCCTCTCCATCAACGGATTCCACTCTATGGGTGTCATCCATGGAGCAATAAATGCCACATTCATCACCTTAATCCGCAAAGTTGAAGGGGCGGAAGAACTCCAAGACTTTTGGCCAATTAGCCTGGTTAATTCTTCCTATAAGCTACTATCTAAAGTGCTGTCTTCCAGGCCACCTACCTAAGGTGCTTTCATTAATGACCGACAAATCCTCGATGGAGCTCTCGTTGCTCACAAGTGTCTCCACCCACGACACCAGGCCAAACTCCTAGGGTTAGCCATAAAGCTAGACTGGGAAAAGGTGTACGACCATGTAGATTGGTCTATTCTCGATTGGACCCAGGACAGAATGGGCTTTGGCCCCCAATGGCGCAATTGGATCAGTGGGTGTGTATCATTTGCTTCCTTCTCTATCCTCCTTAACTGTTCTCTTAAAGGCTTCTTCAGCTCTACTCGGGGGCTGAGATAGGGAGGCCCTCTCTCCCCCTTGCTTGCTATTGCGGCTGAGGTCTTCAACTGGTCCATTTCGGGCCTCTATGAAGCTGGCCTTCTTGCAGGCTTCCACTCAGGGGCCCTTGGGCCTGTGATATCTCATCTCCAATACACAAACAACACCCTACTCTTCTGTGATGCCATGACTCAGTAGGTTGACACCTTGTTAATTTTCTTAAAGTGCTTCGAAATGGCAACGGGTTTCCGAGTTAATATGGCCAAGTCCTCTATGATGGGGGTTGCATTGAGCAGCCACTCTGTTGAACTCCTAGTATCTCGATGGGGCTGCAAAGTCGACCATCTGCCTTTCATCTACCTTGGCCTTCCCCTTTGTATAAGGAAGGGTAGGTTTCTTTCTTTTTCCAGCGGTCCACACGACTTTAATTAGGGGAACCTATCAAATATTCCAGCCTTCCAAATGTCCCTCTTCCTTATGCCTGCCTCGATTTTCGCACGGTTAGAATAACTCATGAAGCAATTTTTTTGGTTGGGAGTTGGTGGTCGCAAATTCCACCTCATCTCATGGGACAAAGTCTGTAGACCTCTTTGGGCGGGCGGCTTGGGCATCTGTAGGCTCAAGCTTTGCAATTTGGCCGTTTTAGGTAAATGGTGATGGCGCTTTGCCACCCACCCCAACGACCTTTGGAGAGAGGTGCTTTCATCGACATACCTTATCCCCAATTCCACCTGGATCCGTTTAAAGGGTGGGCTTAACAATTCCTCTGGGATTTGGAAAGCCATTAATCAGTCTCTCACTCATTTCAAGGCTCCCAATTGATTCCGAGCCAGAAGCAGCAACAAGATCTGATTTTGGTTGGACCTCTGGATGGGCCACTTCCCGCTTATGGAAAGGTTTCATAATATGTGTCTTCTGGCCTCGGATCGAGAGGTGATAGCTGCGGAATACTTTGATTCCATAGGAGGGACCAGAGTATGGGGCCACAGATTCTGAAGACCTCTGAGGGAACGCGAGGAAGCCAACTTCATTTTCCTCTCGTCCCTGCTACATTCTTTCTTCCTTCCTAGCCAGGGCCAGGATGCCCTTGTTTAGGCCCCCACTCCTTCGGGAATCTTCTCAGTCTCACCCTTCTTCAAAGTGCTTCAGGCCCAAGCTATCTTTCTCTCCTCTTCTGTTGCTGCCTGGGCCTGGTCTAATCTCTCTCCCTCTAAAGTGAGATGGTTCACATGGATAGCGGTCTCGGAAAGAGCCCTAACGGTGGACCAGCTTCAATGGAGAGGCTTTCAACTCCCTAACATATGTGTTATGTGCCTCAACAAGGAGGAATCGAATCCTCATCTCTTCCTTCATTGCCCTCTTGCTCAGGCTCTTTGGGTGGATATGCTACATTTTTTTGGATGGCAGTGGGTAACCCCCCAATCTATCCCCCATACCTTCCAGCAGCTGTTCTCCCCCCTTGGCCCCCCCAATCTATCCCCCATTTTCCAGCAGCTGTTCTCCCCCCCTGGCTCAAACCAGGGCTGCTCCTATGCCGGACAGCGGTATCTGGCCTGTTGTGGACCTTGGGAGAGAGAAATTGCAGAATCTTCTTCACAATAGACGCCACCAAGAGCAAGAAAGAGGCTCTCAGCTCCTAATAACTAAGTCTAACTAGTGCTATTCTGTCCTGTGCCAATTGTTCGAAGGGGACTTAGAGGTTCTTTCTCTCACATGATTTCACCTGCCCGTTCTACTTTCGTGCCAGAGGAAATGGGATTTGAACCCATGATACACTTCTTGCATGTCGATTTAGCAAACCAATGCCTTAAGCCACTCAGCCATACCTCCAAGAGTTGATCGAAATTGGATCGGGTTGGGTTGAAAGGCAAGATTAAATTACTTGACTACCTCACCGACTCCCTTTGAGCTTCCATTATCTGCTGGGCCAAGAACAACAAGCTCTTTAAGCACATCGCTACCTCGGACTTCAACCAAAGTTGGCAGACCCTCATCTTTCTCTACCTCACTAGAACCTCCAGCTCCTTCTGGCGACCTCCCAATCCAGATCAAATCAAATTAAACTTTGATGGCTGCTCTTTGGGCAACCTGGGCCCGCCAAAGGGTAGGAGGCTTATTTCGAGACTCAGTGGGGAATACTGTGTAATCTTATTCCAAACACATTGGTATCACGGATTTGGCAGTAACTGAGGTCACTGCACTCCTTGAAGGCCTTAGAGCTTTTGACCCAGCTTGGAAACCTTCCCTCATCATTGAAGTGGACAAATGCAATGTTATTGAGTGGGCCTCAGGAGTGGCTCCCTTTGCAGTACGTCTTCAATGAGATCTTCTTTCGCTGTTCAGCCTCACAAATCTCATGGAGACATACTCAGAGGGAAACCAACTCCGAAGCCTATGCACTTGCCAAAGACAGAGCCTCATCAACAACTCTTACGTCATTCGCAACCTGAGTTTTCCGGCCCTCCCATTCATCTTTACTTTTGCTATTTTATGCATGAAATACACCATTTGATTACCTTTTCAAAGAGACTCATTTTTTGGAACCCATGAGGTTCTTGTGTAGGGCTCCATTTTTGCGCCCCCCCCCCCTCCCCTGCTATTTTTTGTACTCTTTTCCCAATACATCCATTGTGTTAAAAGCTACCTAGTGCGGCACTAGTAGGTGAGGTAGCGCCTCTTAGAAGGAATTACCATCAATTGGTGTGTAGTACGTGTGTGAATGCTGTTTTTATGGTGGAATATATACCTGTTAAGAACTGAAAATAGATGTGGCATGCCCAAATAACTGCAACATGGTCTAAGAGAGAATTCCTCTTAAAGGTGAAGCAGCTGTTGTACCAAACTAGCGTGCTTCTACCTACAATATGTGAAGTGACCCCATATAGTTTTTCCTTCTATGGGCTAGAAATTCTCACGCATGGAAAAATAAAAAATAGCATTTGAAAAGTAGTTGATCATAACCCTCTGAAGCTGACATCACCCTACCAATTCTTCTTCCAAAAATGGATCTATGTCCCATTGCCAAAAGGCTTATTTACTTCAACAAAAGAGAGCCACCATCAAGGCAACATCCCTCCGCTGCCCTGCATGAAGGAAATCCCCTTGCAGTCTTTCCTACCACAAGCGCAGCTATGCTTACCAAAATTAAGTTGGGGGTTTGAAAATAGTCAATGTCGCCATCAAATGCCCAACCCCATTACAATATACCACCATTGCTGCCTTGCCGATAGCATAAGTTCTTTTGTACTCAATAATTATAACTTCCCTAGGTATTGTCCTGTGATACAAAATTTCTCTGTCTACATGCTTCAAGCCTTTGTTGAACCGCTGCAAAATGCCAAATCACAAATGTATCATGCTTCCTCCCAACTTAGTGATGCTTCATGTCCTCTATTTCTCGTCTTGGAGGAAACTTGCTTTAATCTTTCCTGCCTTCCTACCATGAATATTGTAATTCCAAAAAACTCAACAAAAATAGATAGGTAAATTTGAGGATAGAGTTTATGTATTGATGTCCTTATGCACATGAACTTAGTTGAAGAGACATGTATTAAGATACAATATTGTACCACACAAGGGCGAGCTCCTTATCTCTTGCAAAATTTCCCCACATTGGATAATGGATGAGGGTCCGTTACAAATGCCTGCTAGCCTAGGGAAAAAGGAGTTTGAGAATAGCCTTGGGTGATGTAACCTTGCTATCCCGTCACTCAACCCCCTTTCTTTATCTTGTCTTTGGCTGAAACTCCCACTCCCAATCATACTTCCTGGGAGATTAGTTCCTTGAGGCAAGCTCCAATTAGGAACCTGGAAAAGGATCTCATCAATTACCCATTAGTACAAACAACTTCGATGATTGTTGTGGAAGCTATGAACACCATTTTCCTCATGAGATTTATGCTCCTAGAGATTTAACCTAGTTTTTAGGAACATTGTACATGGGTTCTGCTGCTGCTCTCAACCCATGTTCCCTAGCTCGTGCTTCTGTTCCCTCTTTTGCTCCTTCTCCTTGCATATACAAGCATGACTTAAAATATGATAAAAAAAAGCAAATCAGTGGTACTTGCTGAAAGAGTGACTAGCTGATCTGAATTTTCAGTTCATATTGTCATTCGGTTAATTGATCTATTGTATAATCTCTTGATATAGGAATGGAGTGCTACGCTAATTACCCTTACACTGTTATGTTTTATAATAGGCCATTCTTCAATTCTTTCTTGATTTTGGGGAGGTTGTTCTACATGATGCTAATTCTAGTCTGAGAGCATTCTTCCGTTCATGTTTGAGCCGGTAAGATATTTTGAATATCTTTATAAATTTTCTATTTCATTTGGCATGTGAATAGAGAGCATAACGAATTGGATTATTGAGATAGTTTTTATTTATCATTGTGATCAAATGCTCGATTTGACCACGCATGCCTAAGATTTATAGTATCTCATGATGGTGGTTATTACATGGCCTTAAATATTACCCTAGATATTAGTAATTCGTCTATAGTTTTCTTATTAATGTAACGCATTTAATGAACTTTCTTTAATAGTTATTACTCTATATCATGTTCAATGTTCAAAAATGCGGATTCGGGCGCCTAAGCATTTTATAAGTTTTTAGGGAGTTCTTAGGGCACGGTTTTAAGTCTTAGGGAGTTTTAAGTCTTAGGGAGTTCTTAGGGCATGGTTTTAAGTAGTTTTTAGGGCAATTTTAGAGCTTCAAACTCCCCGTGAAATAGACAAAAATGTAATAGTACAATCACATAACAGATTTACGAATACAAGTCTCAAAGAGATTGCAACTTGTAAGACATTAAAATGCTTGAAATCCCAAATATCATTGTAGGAAACTAGAAGTCTAGACTAGAAACGATACACAAACTCAACAAGGCCAAATCAAAAAACAAATACATCAAGTCATCAACCAAACATGTAATACATTTTGGCATGTGAATAGAGAGCATAACTAATTGGATTATGGAGATAGATTTTATTTACTAACTAAGCAAAATAATATTGTGATCAAATGCTCGATTTGCCCACGCATCCCTAAGATTTATAGTATTTCATGATGGTGGTTATTACATGGCCTTAAATAGTACCCTAGATATTTGTAATTCGTCTATAGTCTTATTAATGTAACACATTTAATGCACTCTCTTTAATAGTTATTATTCTATATCATGATCAATGTTAAAAATGCGGATTCGGGTGACTAAGAGTTTTGGGAGTTTTTAGGGAGTTTTTAGGGAGTTCTTAGGGCATGGTTTCAAGTCTTAGGGAGTTTTAAGTCTTAGGGAGTTTTTAGGGAGTTTTAAGTCTTTGGGAGTTCTTAGGGTATGATTTTAAGTCTTTGGGAGTTTTTAGGGCAATTTTAGAGCCTCAAACTCCTCATGAAATAGACGAAAATGTAATAGTACAATCATATAACAGATTTACGAATACAAGTCTCAAAGAGATTGTAACTTGTAAGACATTAAAATGCTTGAAATCCCAAATATCATTGTAGGAAACTAGAAGTCTAGACTAGAAACGATACACAAACTCAACAAGGCCAAATCAAAAAACAAATACGTCAAGTCATCAACCAAACATGTAATACATTTTGGCATGTGAATAGAGAGCATAACTAATTGGATTATTGAGATAGATTTTATTTACTAACTAAGCAAAATAGCATTGTGATCAAATGCTCGATTTGCCCACGCATCCCTAAGATTTATAGTATTTCATGATGGTGGTTATTACATGGCTTTAAATAGTACCGTAGATATTTGTAATTCGTCTATAGTCTTATTAATGTAACACATTTAATGCACTTTCTTTAATAGTTATTATTCTATATCATGATCAATGTTAAAAAATGCGGATTTGGGTGCCTAAGAGTTTTGGGAGTTTTTAGGGAGTTTTTAGGGAGTTCTTAGGGCATGGTTTTAAGTCTTAGGGAGTTTTAAGTCTTAGGGAGTTTTTAGGGAGTTTTAAGTCTTTGGGAGTTCTTAGGGTATGGTTTTAAGTCTTTGGGAGTTTTTAGGGCAATTTTAGAGCCTCAAACTCCTTGTGAAATAGACGAAAATGTAATAGTACAATCATATAACAGATTTACGAATACAAGTCTCAAAGAGATTGTAACTTGTTAGACATTAAAATGCTTGAAATCCCAAATATCATTGTAGGAAACTAGAAGTCTAGACTAGAAACGATACACAAACTCAACAAGGCCAAATCAAAAAACAAATACATCAAGTCATCAACCAAACATGTAATACATTTTGGCATTTGAATAGAGAGCATAACTAATTGGATTATTGAGATAGATTTTATTTACTAACTAAGCAAAATAGCATTGTGATCAAATGCTCGATTTGCCCACGCATCCCTAAGATTTATAGTATTTCATGATGGTGGTTATTACATGGCCTTAAATAGTACCCTAGATATTTGTAATTCGTCTATAGTCTTATTAATGTAACACATTTAATGCACTTTCTTTAATAGTTATTATTCTATATCATGATCAATGTTAAAAAATGCGGATTCGGGTGCCTAAGAGTTTTGGGAGTTTTTATGGAGTTTTTAGGGAGTTTTTAGGAGTTCTTAGGGCATGATTTTAAGTCTTAGTGAGTTTTTAGGGAGTTTTAAGTCTTTGGGAGTTCTTCGGGTATGGTTTTAAGTCTTTGGGAGTTTTTAGGGCAATTTTAGAGCCTCAAACTCCTTGTGAAATAGACGAAAATGTAATAGTACAATCATATAACAGATTTACGAATACAAGTCTCAAAGAGATTGTAACTTGTTAGACATTAAAAGTCTTGAAATCCCAAATATCATTGTAGGAAACTAGAAGTCTAGACTAGAAACGATACACAAAGTCATCAACCAAACATGTAAATATATTGTAAAAGAAAAATAAAGGTAAAAGATAAAACACATGATTTGCAACATAATATGTTGTAGCAAAACAAAATCAAAACCCTCTTTCGAATACGATAATACTTTAAAAATATCAAAATCTAATCGATGTCGATGCAAACTTCGTCTATTGGGTCGCCAAAAGTCCTCAAAATCAACTACTAAAAGCTCTAAATCCACTCACGAACTATTGCCTTTGTTTGTGGAAGGAATCGCAAAAATCAAAACTTTATCGATCTGTCGATAAATCACAAAAGAGTAGTTTATTGGGGAGTTTTTCTCACCCTAAAATCCACGGTTTTTGTTTTGGGGGTTCAAAATACCCCCCAAAACTCTTTTCTCCCCTTTTTAGGGGGAAAAAGTGACATTTTTTTACCCTTGCCAAGTGTTTTTTTCGCCCTTCTGCAAACTGTCATAGGGCGGTGCCTAGGCAGGCGCCCATACTGTTGCGCCTTGGCCTTCGCCCGGAGACAGACCGCATAATTCCAAAGCCTAGACAGCGCCTAGGCGGCCGAATTTTCGAACATTGATCATGTTGCATGTGACTTAATGAATATCATTATCTATTCATTTCACATGGTTTAATATGGAAAGTTTCAACGGGGCTGGACCTTCTCCGCAATCCTTTAGGGCACGTTTGTTTTTTTATCAAACACAGTAGCTAGAACTTATTTAAAACTTCCAGAACAAAACATTCAATATATATATATATATATATTTAACTATATAAATGTAAAGGGATTTTATACAATGAGACCATTTAACGTTAATACAGGGGGGTCACAATTGCTTACCACCATCCGATGTGAAATCTGATAGCTTGTATGTGTCACAAAGTTCGAGAAAATTTCTTTTGAACTTCAGCTTAGGCAATGAAATAAATGCAACCATCGAATTTCACATCCAATGGTCAAGATTAATTGTGATCACCTTGTACCAAAGATAAATGGTCTCATTATATACTTTCCCAAATATAAATTATAACATAATATAATATATTTTAAAGTATATTTGTATTATATATAACCTAGAATATAATATAAAATATCTATATATTATGTATATAATATTTATATTATATAGTATTTATTTAATATAATAAATATTTTATGTATAATATAATAATACAAAATATGTTATATATAATATTTATATATAACATATAATATAATATTTATTTTAAAATAATATAAGATAGATATTTATATATAACATATAATATAATATTTATTTTAAAATAATATAAGATAGATATTTATATATTATATATAATATAATAATATAAATATTATATAATATAATAAATATATTATATGTAATGTATAATCTAATAATATGAATATTACATATAATATATAATTACTATAATAAATATATATTATATTTATATATTATACAATATAATAATATAAATATTATATATACTATGTATTTAATATAATAAATATATATTATGTTTATATATTATTTATAATATAATAATATACGTATTATATATTATATATTTATATGTATTATATTATGTATTTTATATAATATATATTATATTATAAACTGTAATATTATATAATATTATTTTATAGTAATATTATATTATATTAATAGTACTAATATTATGTATTATATTATGCATAGTGAATATTGATCAACAAAAAAGTTATGAAAGATTAAGTTCCTAACCCCTCTCCCTATAACCTATTCGTTCACTTTTTAACAAAGGAATGGGAACTTTTGTTGAAAGATTAGTTTTCGAGCTTTAAATGGAAAGTGTGAAACAGATGCGGAACTTTTTGAAAAATCTGAAAGAATACTTTCAGAAAAACGAGCACGCCCTAAGAGAGATTAAAATTGGCTAAGAGTGATCTAGAGTCTCATTCATTTTGTTGGGTTTGGTGGCCTTTAAAGGCCTAGAGAGCTTGCAAATATGATATTTTATAGTGGAATATGCACTTCAATGGTAGTGTGTATGTTCATTGACCAAGGGTTGGGCAGTTTATGGCCCTGGTCATGTCTAAAACTCTTACCCTTGGGCTTGTGGCACTATCAACTAGGGTTTATAGTGGGTCATCCCTTGTTGAGGCTGGAGAGATGCCCATGGATTATATTTGCAGGTCAAGAGAACTGTGTGGTCTCGTGTGTGTGGTTGTAGGCATATGAGGGCAAGGGCCAAAGCCTCAACAAACTTTCGCATAACATATATACATGACAGACGCATTACTGGGAAGCAGCCATACACAGGCACACGTATACATATGCATAGAGAGAGCGCCTTTTGTACTAGTAACAATTGCTAGACTTGCTCTTAAAAGGGCGAACCGAAGTGCACATTCCAGAATCATAGTCCCACTGTTTATTGTCCAACTTTGGCAAGCCAATCATGAGCCCCTGAAATGAGAACGTGGGTCATGGGTATTTATTGGGCTGGATAAAAAAACAATAGTGGATCATGGTTTTTGGGGCGAGTGGAGTGCCTTTATTGTTGCTAATTTTGACCCATTGGTACCAGTCCACTCCTAGTATGCTTTATTTTTGTATTATAAATATTTCTATGATTTTTAAATAGTTTTTTTTTTTCTGAATTTTAAATGCTATTTCTGCTGTAATTTTCACAAAAAAAGTATTTCTAAAATTTTCAAAATTTAAAATAATACATGTGGGACCAAAGATCCAACCCGACATGTGTGTATGTTTTTTTTAAGAGTGGGGACCACGTGCCACCCCTCAGGGGGACCAAGCTCAAAATTTATTTATTTTTAATCAAAAAGTGGGCATGCCACTTTTTAAGGGAATTGACTTTGTATGTATAGTACATTCAAATATAGTAGCTTTAAAATTTTGGCGTGCTGCCCCCTCCTTGGCTAAATACATTGGCAATCGCATTAGCCTCTCATTGAATGCGCTGAAAGAAACTTCCAAGGGCCCACAAAGGTTATCGATATTATCAAAAATAGGCTTCGAGTCTCCAAGAACATGGTGTTTGAATCCTACAAAATTATGCTTTCAGAGTCCCCTTCCACTAGAAGTGTGTTCCTCCAGTTGGGGTCAACTATTAGGCCTTTGAGGACAGGAATCTACTTGGCCAGGGTTAACAATGGCAATGGAACCTGAAAAAGACAACTGTGTATCAGACTACTTATTCCTAGAAATGCCCCCATACCCTGCCAAACCATGGTTATCAAGTGAGCATCATCAACATTAAGTTTAGTAGCCCCTTGGCCAGGTGGCATCTAATGGCCAGATCTTGAGATGGCAAATCCTGCATCTTCAGGGAGTGTTGTTTGGATAACTTCTAGATGGGACCTAGGTTTTGTGAATGCTTGTTTGGATCATTAGTTCGCAGAACTTAGATTTGCGATTTCATTTTATTCTTAGGTTAGAAAGCGGCTTTACAATGTTTCCCTCTATTTTTAGATATTACTCTAGGATTTCTAACATAAACACGAGGGGAATTCATTTTTTAAGTTCGAATTGCTATAATCACAGACTAAATTTAATTTGAATGGGGAATTGATTAATCGAACTGTGATAAAATGGAAATAAAAAGGTGACTAGAACTAGCTTAAAGGAGATCTTTGTATAAATGTGTTTATGCGGAAATCACCAATCCGAAAAAAATCTCTAAAAATGTAATCTCTGTTGGTGATTGGAACTAGTTTAGTTTGATGGCCAAGAAGTACCTAAAAGAGATTATTTTGGATATCCTGGGTCGATAATCTTTGAGAATGGAGATATTGAAGAAGATGTTGCTCATAGAATTAGAGTTGGGTGGATGAAATGGAGGTGTGTTTTTGCAGTCTCATGTGATCGTTGCTTACCAATGAAACTGAAGAAGTTCTATAGGATGGCTGTAAAATCAGCCATGATTTATGGGACGGAGTGTGAGGCTGTCAAGAAACAACATATCCATAAAATTTTGTTGCTGAGAGAGAGAGAGAGAGAGAGAGAGAGGAAGAAATGAGCCGCAAATGCTCCAATGCGACTCTTTTTGTATAACAAAACTTGGGCGCATGAATGACAACTATTTTTTTCGTACCTGTGTTTTGCTAACATTTTCTCATACACAAAAGCTGATTTCAGTGCCAATCAGTGTTGCAATAAATGCCGGTAGGGTCAAGGCTGCTCAAGCGCCTAGGTGGCCACTTAGAACCTGGGCGGCCTAGGTTCAAAAGGTGGCAAGGGGTGTCCAGTAATCATGTTTTAAGTCCAAGTCCAGAGTTTGTCTAAAAGTGCCTATTCATGCATTTTTTATAATCCAAACAAAAACAAAACCCCAAAAATACGTACTTAGCAGGGGCCTAGGGTCCCTAAGGACAGCCCACCTAGTTGGTCCGCCTGGGCCTTGGTGATGCGCCCGGGCCCCCAAGCTAGCCTAGGCACTTGGCAAACTGCTTTTTTGATTAATGGGGCCAATAAAAATGGCAAACAATTTTTTCTGTGAAATATCTTGGGTATGCAAAAGATGAGTTTCCGTATTGTAGGATCCAAATGATCCATTAGGCCCTTACTTCTGGGGGCCTCTTGAGCCTACTAGAGCTTGGATGGGACGCGAACTACATCCGCCCCCCCCGCCTCCCCACCCCTAGGGGGTTGGTTTCTTGCTGCTGCATCGGGAGACCTTCCACTGAGTTTGACCCTACGCTTCAATTCCTCTAATGCTATCTCTCGTTGCCTCTAATGAGCATACTCAATATTGCCAGGTACCTTTGACATTCATGTCATTGAATTCTAAAACAAATCCGTGGTTTCGTTTTCCATTCAATTTATGGCACTTGTAAAGTTGTAATTCACATAGGCCCAACCCAACGAACTATTGCCTCATACATTTTACATTCTTGAATAAACATATTATTCTCTGCCTATTCTGATTTCCTAACATGGAATCTTTGTGATAAAGTGACTTGCTTAGAGGAAGTCGCTCTCTAATAAATTTACTTTGAGGTGTTCTGTTGACTGTATCCCGAATTTCTAATGTGGTTACAAGGCTTTTATAATGGAGAATCACAATACAAATTTGTTCGATCAAATGCCACTGCATTTTCATGTTTATCCTTTGCATAAATCATTTCCTTTTTGCACATGATTTTTTTTTAATTGTGTTTTTTGAGATTTATGTCAAGTGATTGTAGCATTCCACAAATTCATTTTCTTGAGGTTTCTTACCTTAGTTCGTGCTGATGTTTTTTTTGGGTAAGTAGTTTGTGCTGATTTTATCAAACAACAGTGTAAGATCTTTTTGGACATATTAAGTCTATTGATATTCAATGTCATGCAGTTCAGAATCTGCTTTGATTGACCTGGATCTTTTCTGCAGACAATTTGCAGCTCCTGTTGTTGCAGAGTCAACTTTGAACTTTCTCTTCTTGAATAAAACAAGATTTCTGAATTCATTTCCCAGCTTACTCCCACAGGTAATCTTATATTTTTAAAGGCATTGTTGTTTGCATAATATAAAGATTGCGTCAACGAATGGCGTATGCAATATCCAAAACTTATGCCTTATTGTTGTTTGAAATTTTGAATCACATCTGCCCAATGGCCCATCTCTATATCTTTCCTCCATCTTAGTTCTAAACCCTGATTTCATTAATGTTCCTACTTTACCTTAAACATATTAATAGTGATTCTGAGACACAATATAGTAACTTCATTCCTTGATGGTGTTTTCATACATTAAGAATTGGAGGCTACGAGCTACACTCTTTCATTCACCCTTTCTTTTATTTCATTGTCTTTTGTTATTGTTTTCAAAAGTGTTATATGTTGAAATTGTATATTTCAAGTTATATTTTTCCATTCGCTACTATTCTTATGTGATTGTTTTTATTTGAAAGTATCCCCTTTTGATCTTTATTTTATATAATAAGCAATGAAATCTTTAGTCTAGCCATCTTTTAATTCATGTCTTTGCTGTCAAGTTTGTTGCAATATATTAATTAACAGGAGAAGGTTTCCCATTCCTTGGTCGGAAATTGACTTCTGACTTTTTCGTTCTCAACACCAGTGAGTTCAGCCAGCTAGATCCCCAATATTTGTCAACCCCTAATCCATGCCTCATTGCCAATTCGTCTGAATTGAAATTATAGTTTCCATAGGTCTTCCCTTCCTGTTTTAGGGAGACCCAGTCTTGGTCAGCGGGAGACGGCTTTCCAAAGATTAGCACTTTTTTCATGTTTCTGGGAAGTGAGAAGTATTTACTGATTATGAATTGGAAAATCTTATGAAGTGATAAATAATCTAGGGTAGGGTAGGGTTAGGCCAGGTTGAGCTTATCCATGAAAATGAAGTACGTTCCTGTCAAAAATTTGGCAAGACAACTGGCAAAGAATTGAGCCAAACTTGGATTTCTAATTGGCAATGTCCCTGTGTTTTTTAACTGTGCCATATTCGAAATTTTCAATAAGATGGAGTTGCACTTGGATAATATTTGGACATTCATGACGGTGTAATATTTGTTAAAGTTGCTTGTCCAACATCTAGCCAAATGTTTTGGATTTATTTTTATCAATATTTTGTATATTATTTTATAAATCTCCTACTTGATATTCGGATACTATTTTCTTGGGTGAGTTAATGTTTCATTTGACACCATCCTTGATTTGCAGTTCTTTCCATTACTACTAAAGCTGATTGCCTGGAATGGGGAGAAGTAAGTGATGTTCTTGCTGTATGTTTACATTTCAAGTTGCTTAAATGCGTGATATGAATTTTGGAATTGATGTTGATTCAAATAGTCTGTCTGAATCATTTGACGTTGCTTTACTGTTTTCGTGTGGCTCAATCATGATTGCATCTTATTTAGGACCTTCATGATTATATTTTGGAAATAGTAGTGAAAATAATTTGGTAATGTGGGATTGCTCACTATTGTGTTATGATGGTAGCTGTCTAATTTCTAGGATATCTAGCCCAAACACAAAGAAGCAGTACTTAAAAAAGCAATCTACTCATATCAACAAAGCTCTCTCTATATCTCTCTCTCTCTCTCTCTCTGAAAAATGAGGAGGAGATGCCGTCGTCTCCCTCCCTTTCCACCTCGTCTTCCTCCTTTTCTTCTTCCTTCTTCTGCTTCCAGACGTCTTTCACACCCGCCCCCTGTTCGTCCTTCCTCTTCTGCACCATCTTCTTCCAGGCTTCTCTCTACTTGGCCCTTGGCCCCTCTTTCTTTCTGGAGTAAGATTACGACCTCTACCCTAAACCCCTCTGTTTCCCACACCAGGCTTCTACTAAGGGAGCGCAGTCCTCTACCCGTGGCTCTCCACAAAGAGGGTTACCGACTAACGCTGCTGGGTCCTTTGCGCAAGTAGTTGCACGCTCCTTGCCCCCTCCCCCCTCCCCCCCTCCCTAGTCCGCTCTAAGGAATCCCCCCCTCCTCTCTGCAGCAAGCCCCTGCTCGGTCCTTTCTTCGTCTCCATCCCACCTGTCGAGTCTTCCCTGCTTAAGACTAAGTTCCAGTCATCTTTGGTAGGCACGTTTCACCCATCTTGGAATGATTTCAGAGGAGTTGAGATCTGGGCAAAATTTTTTTGAGAGGATTCCAATCTCCCGGCTCAACGCCTCTCCTGTGGAGACTACCTCTTCACCTTTTCGTCACAAGCTCTCACCTGCCAAGTATTGCAGAACTCTAAATCTGCGATGTTCAAAGGGGCAACCTTGTGCCTTCGGGCTTGGTCCTCCCTGGAAGGTTTTTTGAGAAGGCAAAAGGTATGGCTACGCTTCTGCATGTGCCACTACATGCCTGGTTTCTTGCAACCTTTGGGAGAATAGCTGAATCTTTTGGTTATTTGATCGCGATTCGGTGGAAATCTCTGGAAACACTTTTGCTAGGCTCCATCCTGCTCCTGGTGGAGGTCCTGGACCCTAAATGCATTCCACCTTGCGTATGGATTGAAGTAGATAACCTGTTCTACCCGATTTCTCTGGCTTGGACTGAGGCTTCCCTCCCCTCGGATAATCTGGTAGCTAGCAGTCCGCACTCATTGCCGGAAAGTTCTTCCTTTTCATGGAGTGTCGCTTCCAGGAAATCTGGCTTAGCCAAGCGGCGCCACCGTCAGAATCTCCATGACCTATTTCCTGGCAAGAGAGGTTACCGCCCTAGTTTTTCGGCTAGTCAATGGTCCTCCAGTCAATGGTCTTACCTGCGCATACCGTGTGACACCCTACCATCGATCCCTGGGGATGATGGGGACGACGATGTAAGGAAGTCGGCGCGAAATGCCTTTGTTGGGCCCGCCTTCTTAGAACCAATCTCCGAAGGCGGTGGGATTGGTAACAGCTATCACTTGCCATTGGGTTCCCCGGCTTCTTTGACCCATCGACCAGGTAAGGAAGTTGTAGAGGACTTACATTCTGCTAGGCCTTCAGCCTTTTTTAAGGACCCGCCTTCCTTGGTCGGGGTTGAGAATTGGGCCCCGGTCACTGACCCAATCCACATGGGGAGGAACTCATTGGATATAGGTACACCAGCCGCCCTGACGTGTGTCCCTGCGGCCACGCGACAGGTGCCCCTTTCCCCATGTGTCCAAGGCTCTCTTGAGGAGACAGCTACTAACTTTTCGCCGCCTTCCATCGCTTCGACTACAGGCGGTGTCCTTTCGTTTGATACTTTGCTCTCTGCCCAAGAAACCCCTCTGTCTCTCCCTTTGACACTTGGCCTCCCGACGCCACTCCCCCCAGATGGTACTCCTAACGCCGTCTTCCCTTCAATCCTTCCCAACCTTGAAGATCCACTCGGGTCTTCTAGTGAACCTTCCTTTTCTCAGTGCTCTCCGTCCACCAAGAGCCAGGAGCAGCTAGCTTCCTTCCAGGCCACTCCTCCTTGCAGGTCATCTCTGGTCCTTTCAGAGGAAGCTTATACCATTGTACAGAGTGTCAAATCTTCCCGCCCTCTTCACCCTGTGTCCCCCTCCATGCTTTCCCCGACCTTCCTACCCCTTCCCTTCTTTTGCCACAGTGACCCCTCTTTGTTTGCTTCATCTTTGCCTATGGAAGTGGACCCTTCTCTTCTTCCTTTCGGCATCATCACGGTTCACTCCCTCCATCCTTCTCCCCCTAACCCTGCTCACCTGTCAGAGCTTCTTGGCCCTTGTCTTCCTCAGCCCTCTCTCCTTATTCCTCTTAGCAGGATTATGACTGTTCTCTTCCCTTACGAGTTCTCTCCTTCCTTGCCTCTTAACTTTGGTCCCCAACCATTTCCTTATCACTTTTTATCTTTCTACACCCCTCCTCCTTTGCCTTTTAACCCTTGCCCTTATCCCGTGTCCAACTGGCTCCTCCCCCTGTCTTTGTCTGTACCCTTACCCAGCCTGCAGCTTCTTCTGAGCACCCTCTTGGTTCTTCACCCTCTTCTGCTCCTGCCCTGGTTAACCCTAATTCAGTGTCTCCACCGGTTTTGTCGCTTGTTCTTAGTCTATGGGAACCTTAGCTTTTGCCGTCTGTCCTTCTTTACCCTGTTTCTCTTCGACAGTCCTCCTCCTCCTCTGAACCTTCAGTGATGGCTCCTGAATCAGTAACCATTGCACTCTCTTCTTCCTACTCGGACAAAGGAGACCCAGAGAGAGCTGGTGGGACTGATAACTTTCGAGAAGCTGAAATGATGAAGGAGATCTACAGGGTTATGGCATTTGAACACCTTGGACCCGAAGGCCCAAGACATCGGTTCCTACAGGCGGACGCTCACAGCAGGCTCAAGGTGAATCTCAAAGGACATCGTGAATTGCTTAACCTCTTCTCTTCTATAAATTATGATAATCTCGCCCCTGAAGACCAGCCTCTTCCCACTGCTACCCAAACCTCCCCCACTCTTAGGCAGTCGCTTGGGAATGCCTCTACCCCTGCTTCTTCCCTTAACTTATGAAGTTTCTGTCTTGGAATGTTAGACGGCTGGGACAGAAGTCCAAATGGGATTCAATGAGAGACTTTTCTACCAAACTCTCTCCATCGATCCTTGCCTTGACAGAGACTAAACAACCGGCCAACTTTGCAGTCCATTAGCAGTGTGTGGGGCAGTTGACTGTGTCAATGGGAATCTTTACCAACGATAGGGGCCTCTGACGGGATTTGAGTTATTTGGAACCCAACTGAGTTTAATCTCCTATCGTCTCACATAGGAGATTTCTCGGTCACTGTCCTTCTATCTAGGACAATAGATGGTGTGCAGCTTAAATTTTCTGCCATTTATGGTCCAAACTCAGCTTCCCTACGCCCCTGCCTCTGGTCTGAATTGGATCTTGTCGGAGCCTTACCATATTCTACATGGTGCCTGGTTGGTGATTTCAACATCACCCGTTGGTCTCATGAGAGAAACCTCAACACCAATGTCTCCCAGGGAATGCTGGATTTTTTTGACTTCATCTCTTGACATGAACTTGTAGACATTCCTACTCAAGGGAATGCCTTTACTTGGTCTAACCACTTTGCTCAGCCCTCTTTGACCAAACTGGATCGTTTCCTTCTGTCATTGGATTGGAAATTTGCTTTTCTAGATTAACATGCTCTTACCCTGCCTAAACGTACCTCAGACCATCGCCCCATTCTTCTTGATACACAAGTTCTTAGTAGGGGGCCTAAACCCTTTCGGTTTGAACTGGCTTGGTTGGAAGAGCTGTCCCTTACTTCTCTCATCCCCAGTTGGTGGAATTCTTTCTCTTCCCGAGTCTCAGGTAGAGAGGGATTCAAGCTACAAACCAAAATCCAGCTGCTCAAAATGTCCTTGAAAAATTGGAGACAATCTCGGCCAGGGAAACACTCTCAGTTAAAAAGCTCTTTGCTCAGCTGCATCCAAGACCTTGATAAAATTGAGGAAGTCAGACCCCTGTCAGACTTTGAAGAACAGTTACAAACCCAATCCAAGCTGGCATACCTTGCTACCCTCAAGAAAGAAGAGCTTTTTTGGTTTCAGAGATCCCGGGTTAAATGGTTAAAAGTAGGGGATCAGAACACTGCTTTCTTTCATCGTATAGCCAACTGTAGAAGGAGAGAGAATATGATATCCACAATTAAGGTGGATAACAGTTTTCTTACTCAGCCAGATGAAATTGAAAATGCCATCCTGAATTACTTCATGTCCCTCATTTTTGCCCTAGTGGGACTCAAGCCTTGGATGACCACTTTGGATTTCCTTTCAGTTCCTGACCTTTGGTCTAGCGAGTTGGAAAAACGTTTTACAGTTGAGGAAATCTCAAGTGCCATTGATCAACTAGCTAAAGACAAAGCACCGGGGCCGATGGATTTCCCATTGGCCCATTTAAATCTTTCCTGGGTACTTTCCTACTTGTCTTTGAACAATTCTATCATAGGGGGATCCTCAACAAAGCTATCAATGCTACCTTTATAGCCCTTGTACCTAAGAAAGAAGGTGCTGAAGAGCTTAAGGACTTTCGTCCAATTAGCTTACTCAACTCTTCTTACAAAATTCTGGCCAAGGTTTTGGCCTCAAGACTCAAGCAGGTCCTTCCTCTCATCATCTTGCAGTCCCAATCAGCTTTCATCCAAGACAGGCTGATCCTAGATGGTGCGTTGGTTGCTCATGAGTGTATCCACTCTAGGCACCTGTCCAAGAAACCAGGTTTAATTTTTAAAATCGATTGGGAGAGAGCTTATGACCATGTAGATTGGCATTTATTGGATGAGACCATGGCAAGAATGAAC